TTTGTAAAGGTTTGTGACTTTTATGTCCATAAATTATACATCTACACTATTATGGTTAGCAAGAAAGTAGTTTCTTGAAGTTTTTTAAATGCCGTCGTAGATGTTTGTACAAGAAACTTGTTAGATATTACTTTAAAATAACTGTATGTGTCTGTTTCTGTAGCTGGTTTCTGTAACTCATTGAGGAATGAGCAAAAGCTCTGAGCCCGCTGCTGGAGCTGGTTTCAATTCCAATCCATAGCGCCTTATATTAGGCAACTATCGTTTCAGTAATGTGTATAGTCTTGTCAACACAGATGTAAAGTGTTACATTATCTTCTGGTACACAGTACTAGAAAAGTGTTCAAAGACCCGTCCCCCTCAAATTTATTGATTAGCTTTTTATTTGAATGGTAAAATAAATTCAACGCCAGTTAAATATAGCAGTAGAAACAGGGAATAATATACACGATGATGGAAAATTAAGTGGTATACTTGTCCTAGCACTTTAAAATCAATTGACCATTTTAACAATTTGCTCCCAAATGAATTCGGCTGGAAAGCATGGTTTTAAAAACATTCACCATGAGAGAAATAAACAACAATACGGCTATGTAGGTATCGGGCATCAAGACGTTTTAAGGCACTACCGCAACACAACCCATCTGCTTAAGGAATTTAATTGATCACAAACATTTGCCATGGACGTGTTATCGAACGCTGCAATGAGTTGGCATGTTGAACAGTATGTTTGCTAATTATGATTGGGATATAGTTGTGTTCTGAATCACCCCAGTCTCAAAGTTATTTAACACATGGCCCACACTATTATTTATCAGATCTACTTGCTATATAAATGTGTAATGTGTATATCACAGTGTCATTGTGGTTATAGTTTTCGTTTATAGTTTATAGTTAAAGACTGTAGATTTTTGATGGTTTGAAACTGGACCCAGCTGTCCCTGATCATTGGACTTTAAATCAATAATCCTGGATCATGAAACATCCAGGATTATTGGGACAACTGGACCCAGCTGTCCCTGATCATTGGACTTTAAATAAATAATCCTGGATCACGAAACATCCAGGATTATTGGGACAACTGGACCCAGCTGTCCCTGATCATTGGACTTTAAATAAATAATCCTGGATCACGAAACATCCAGGATTATTGGGACAACTGGAACCAGCTGTCCCTGATCATTGGACTTTAATGAAATAATCCTGGATCATGAAACATACAGGATTATTGGGACAACTGGACCCAGCTGTCCCTGATCATTGGACTTTAAATAAATAATCCTGGATCATGAAACATCCAGGATTATTGGGACAACTGGACCCAGCTGTCCCTGATCATTGGACTTTAAATAAATAATCCTGGATCACGAAACATCCAGGATTATTGGGACAACTGGACCCAGCTGTCCCTGATCATTGGACTTTAAATAAATAATCCTGGATCACGAAACATCCAGGATTATTGGGACAACTGGACCCAGCTGTCCCTGATCATTGGACTTTAAATAAATAATCCTGGATCACGAAACATCCAGGATTATTGGGACAACTGGAACCAGCTGTCCCTGATCATTGGACTTTAATGAAATAATCCTGGATCATGAAACATACAGGATTATTGGGACAACTGGACCCAGCTGTCCCTGATCATTGGACTTTAAATAAATAATCCTGGATCATGAAACATCCAGGATTATTGGGACAACTGGACCCAGCTGTCCCTGATCATTGGACTTTAAATAAATAATCCTGGATCACGAAACATCCAGGATTTTTGGGACAACTGGACCCAGCTGTCCCTGATCATTGGACTTTAAATAAATAATCCTGGATCATGAAACATCCAGGATTATTGGGACAACTGGACCCAGCTGTCCCTGATCATTGGACTTTAATTAAATAATCCTGGATTGAAATAGCGTAGTATGAAATAAACAATATTGCCAAATTTGAATAAAATATATCCATAAACAAGGAAACTACAACAGTTTATTTAAAAATAACATGGAAATTTAATAATAATAATTTAATAAAATTATCATAAATAAGTTATAGTGTGGATTAGGAATAGTTTTGCTGTGTATTGCTTTGTTTGGTTCTCCTTTGGAATAATAGTTTGGTATAAACAGAGAGTAGCTCACTTCAGCCTTTCACAAAGAGACTTTCATCTAGATGTCTTCTGTATGATGTAGGGATATCTATGTATCTGTATTTGTGTATACAGTATCGTGTAATGAGGTCAGTCAATTAATCAATTAACTGACCTAAACGTTTCCGTTTTTGTTGTATTTTACGGTTTGTCGTGTGTACACACAGAGTTTATGGTATGCATGGTGGTTTCAAGAATGTTCAAGGTCATTTGATCTAGTAAAAAATAGTTTGCTAGGTTCCTGAGGACCAAATCTTAGTACATTCCCGGTAAATAAAATTGCAACTTCTATTTCGAATAAAGATAGATAAACAATTATTATCTTTCGTTCTGCTCCTAGTACAGTAGTTTGTCGTGGCACTGTGTAATGACCCGCTACCTCAAGAAAGTAGACATTCCTGAATAGTTATTAATTAAACCCATTTAAAAGTCAAATCGTGGAAAATGGGAACTAGAGTCTTAGTTGACTTTATAATCAGAAAGCAGAAATGGAGCGAGATGAGAAGTGCAGTAAATTGTAAATCAGATGAGAAAATGTGGTTTGAGTAATATCTAGGGTGATTAACGAAGTCTTCCACTTCCGGGGTACTGAGAAATGTCAATGTATTAGTTCATTTAAAAATCATAGGTAGGACTTTTGTTGTAAGTTCCTCTCTTAAATTGGTTAATGTTGGTGCTCCTTTAGATTTGTGCCCCTCTAGCTACTTATTTAGCCTTTTCCCCGTAAAAGTCATCACCTTTTTATGAGACTGTGTAACTAAATCCACTACAAGCTCAGGCTCCATTGAACGGTGCAGTCATTGCAAGATAGGTTTATGATACTGGCCGTTGAATATTGTTCAGGTCTAGAATGTTGCTTTTGCAATCCTTCAACCAATTCGCGTGTTTTTGCCTGCTTCTCGTTTACGTAAATAATTATATGGGACATAACATGGAATGTAAACTACAGTTTATGGTGAAGGAATCTTATTAGAGGAAGAAACTGCAAATGTAACCATGGATTAAAGGTATACTCTTTAATATATGGTGTAGCCTTCTTCTCAAGAAATAGTGGGGTGGGTTAGCTAAAAATTATACCAACATATTTCACACCTGGCAACCAATGCGCCCCTTTAGATTGAGATAGTAGATGAGTAGGCGAGTCTAAAAAGTCCGGTACACAAATTTTTTTGGCACTCTATGGGGGTTTATGACGTAATCAATATGGCCGCCAAAGTTGTCTGACGCGCTCCTACATTTCCCTATATAACTCGGGTTCATATTTTAATACTGCCCTACATTTTAGTGATTATTAATCATGAAAAAATGAGCTTTCCGATGGTCTATTATACACCATTATTTAGATCCATAATACTATGAATATAATATGTATAATTTTATTAAACTTTTTATTTTTATTTAGATTTTTTGGGATCATTTTGCTAAGTATCATTGAATCCGTTATATGTAGCTGAAAACGTTTTACATACACGTTTTTGTCGGAGTATAACCTTTCTAACTTTCACATTTATAATATTAGTAAGATTAATGGTTTTTTATATTAAATTGAAATAATATAGCATTGTACACTCTTTCGTTTTTCATTCTTGTACTTAATTTTACTGTCACTGATTTTAAGACGAAAGTGAAAGTTTCATAGCCCTAAATAGCGCTATTACTTTTCAGACCCTATATAAATTGCATTGTCATAACGACTCAATGTGCACCGCTATATTGTTGACGCAAATTTTCAGCAAGTTTTGTATTCAAAATAGAAGTTATATAATACTGGAAAGGCTATACTCAGAAAAATACGTGTATATAAAAAGTTTTCAGCTACATACAACGGGTTCAATGATACTTAGCAAAATTATTCTAAAAAATCTAAATAAAAAACAAAAAGTTTAATAAAGTTATAAATATTCACAGTATTATGGATCTAAATAATGGTGTATAATATACCATCGGAAAGCTAATTTTTCCATGACTAATAATCACTAAAAATGTAGGGCAGTATTAAAATATGAACCCGAGTTATATAAAGAAATGTAGGAGCGCGTCAGACAACTTTGGCGGCCATATTGATTACGTCATAAACTCCCATAGAGTGCTAGACAAATTTGTGTACCGGACTTCTTAGACTCGTCAACTCATGTACTATCTGAATCTCAAAAGAAAAATATACGATAGATCGATGCCATCAGTATACTGTTGTGCTTACCTAACCAACAAAGCTATATTTCACGCTAAAAACTAATTCAACAGATCAGTTTTTGTATTTATTAGAGGCTAATTTAACTCATTCGAGCCATACATTCAATTAGAACTTTTTATAGGGGACTTTAGTAACACTAGAATGTATTGCCAGTTCTTAACTTTTACTGAGAGTGATTAACGACTCCAATGTTTTTAGCAATGTGTGTTTCGGATATAGGCTAATAGTATCATGTTTTATCTCTCGCATGTTGGATAAAATGTGAGAAGCTATTTTGTCGCAAATTTAGTTTTAGGTCTATTTAGAAACACTAACAACACATGCAAAATTAAAGCAAAAATTATGTTCTTAAATAACAAAACGGAGATTTGTTGGAATTGGAGTGTATGTGTGTTCGTTCAGTATACTTATGCAGTTTTTATCAGTTCTGATAAAACATTAACTTTGGAAATGTAACCGTGCTTTCTAATTTGATCTTGTGAACGGTACACATAAATCAAAACCTTCTTTACCGCTGTACGTAATATAGCGAGCAGTTGAAGTTTTTGGAATATAGCTGACCATTGCACTAGTGTAGGGAGCGGTGGTAGAGGAGGAGCGGAGTACGTAGCACCACCAGTACCAGTGCCGTCAGTCAGTAGTCAGTAGGTCCGCGCGCGCCGTCACGGCAGTCCGCAGTGCTGCAGTACACGCTGCTGTACAGTGCGAGTCGCGTGTATGTGCTCACTCTTGGGATAGTGTTAGGTTGTGACAGTGTAAGAATTATATTATTTATTTACGGAGGGAGAAGTATTGATTTACTCACTAGATATTTGCTTAAACAATGGTACAGTATTTATTAGTTTGTTTACATGGTGGCTATCTCTAATGCGCAAATGCTGTAATAATTGCAACAAAAGAAATTCTAGGTCGAGTAGATTATAATTTGTATGTTGTATAACTCGAGAGTAAAACGTAATGGTGGTGTAAACTGTTGTTTTTGTTTAATCAGTAATCACGGATGTATTGATGCTATAACACGTCTCGTGAGCTTGGAATCACAGTGACTTATTGTGAAATATTGTAAACAGTATTATTTGTCCAGATCATGTTTTGCAACGGTAAATATTTTAAAATTAATATATATTACAAAGAGTCAATATCCTACTGAGAGTATAAACTGATAGTACAAATCAAAAACTTATTGTCAAATGCTTTATTGGTGCTCAGTTTGCTCGTCAATAACATTCCAAAAAAACCTTTATCTTTGGAAATTTTAAGGTCTCTGTAAAACATTGACTTTCTTACACCGAAAATAATCAGTCATTAATCGATTACTACCGTATACAACGACAATAACAAATGATTGGGGTGGCGGTTGTGGTAAGGTCCACTGTTCAGTGCATCTCTCGGGTTTAACCTGTAAAGGACACAAGAGTCGTGAAATGGTGTTGTCATATATGCAGTATTTTAAGCAGGCTGGTACAGTGAACTAAATGTTAACCTTTTTAATTCAGTGATATTTCAATGACGATGTTTTCAACCAACTTAATTGTACATTTTCATTGTAAAATACTTGCAAAAGTAAATTAAGCCAATTCCAACCTGATTCAACATTTTTTAGCAGGCAAATGTTGATTATTGATTATCTCCTTTTGATCAGGCGATGACGATTATAGAGACGGAGTTTAAAGGTGAAGCAAGTTGCATTATACTCGTATTCAAATTGAGTATTTTGCACAAGGTAGGCGTTTCAAGTCCCAAGATATTGTATGCAATTCTAGTGATGGAAATGAAAACTGACGTTTTTGTAACTAAATTAAATTTGTTACGAATAGATTTTAGTGTAATAATGTACCAAATAGGTTTCACTGCCGTATAGGCGATTATTATATTTGACACTGGAATGTATAACATTAAAACGTTTGTTGTTCTAATCAGTGGTGATACAGCAGTGCAATATACAGTATACAGCACAGACTAGAGGCTAGTCTTAAAACAGTTATAGTACAGCACTTGCAGGTGTAAACAACAAAACAAGATTTTTATTTATTTGTTTTCTACTCTTAGGCCTATATTCCGTGATAAGGATTCCGTCTTAGTTTTTCACATTCATTGTTATGATGACGATGTTTCTGTACACTTTAAGAAAACATTCATCAACATTATGATAATGATGGTATAATAAGAGCTGTACAAGTTGTATAATCATATTACTTTATCACATGCAAATTCATAACTTCATAATTAATTGAAGAACACATAACTCTATGGCAACAAATTAAATGTGTGTCTGGTTGTTTATTATTTAACGATGTTGCTGCGACTAGGAAACCATTAAATGCCTACCGAAATAACTAATTAAGCTGTCACTTTTTAAAGAGGGTAATTTAAGTAACACTAGAACGGATTGCTAGCTCCTAAAATTTAAGAGGGGTTGACGAATGCAATGTTTTAAGCAATGTAGAATTGTGTAAAATTTATCGGCGTGAATTAAAAAACTGCATTTAACTGAAAGTGACCCCCATAGTTATAAAACTGAAATTACAAAAGTGAAACTGGTACTATAATTGTACATTTAATAGGTCTGTTTGGCTTGTAGACAGAGACACACAGCAGAACTCGCTCCATTACTGTGACTGCCTCGGGGTGAACCAGTATCATACCTGTACGTGTACACCTTGGTGGGGGTGCACTGCATACACACAGCAGAACTCGCTCCATTACTGTGACTGCCTCGGGGTGAACCAGTATCATACCTGTACGTGTACACCTTGGTGGGGGTGCACTGCATACACACAGCAGAACTCGCTCCATTACTGTGACCGCCTCGGGGTGAACCAGTATCATACCTGTACGTGTACACCTTGTTGGGGGTGCACTGCATACACACGGCAGAACTCGCTCCATTACTGTGACCGCCTCGGGGCGAGCCAGTATCATAACTGTACGTGTACACCTTGGTGGGGGTGCACTGCATACACACAGCAGAACTCGCTCCATTACTGTGACCGCCTCGGGGTGAACCAGTATCATACCTGTACGTGTACACCTTGGTGGGGGTGCACTGCATACACACAGCAGAACTCGCTCCATTACTGTGACCGCTTCGGGGTGAACCAGTATCATACCTGTACGTGTACACCTTGGTGGGGATGCACTGCATACACACGGCAGAACTCGCTCCATTACTATGACCGCCTCGGGGTGAACCAGTATCATACCTGTACGTGTACACCTTGGTGGGGGTGCACTCCATACACACAGCAGAACTCGCTCCATTACTGTGACCGCCTCGGGGTGAACCAGTATCATACCTGTACGTGTACACCTTGGTGGGGGTGCACTGCATACACACATTAGAACTCGCTCCACTACTGTGACTGTCTCGGGGTGAGCCAGTATCATACCTGTACGTGTACACCTTGGTGGGGTTGCACTGCATACACACATCAGAACTCGCTCCATTACTGTGACTGCCTCGAGGTGAGCCAGTATCATACCTGTACGTGTACACCTTGGTGGGGGTGCGCTGCATACACACATCAGAACTTGCTCCATTACTGTGATCGCCTCTGGGCGAGCCAGTATCATACCTGTACGTGTACACCTTGTTGGGGGTGCACTGCATACACACGGCATAACTCGCTCCATTACTGTGACTGCCTCGAGGTGAGCCAGTATCATACCTGTACGTGTACACCTTGGTGGGGGTGCACTGCATACACACAGCAGAACTCGCTCCATTACTGAGCCAGTATCATACCTGTACGTGTACGCCTTGGTGGGGGTGCACTGCATACACACAGCAGAACTCGCTCCATTACTGAGCCAGTATCGTACCTGTACGTGTACACCTTGGTGGGGGTGCACTACATACACACAGCAGAACTCGCTCCATTACTGAGCCAGTATCGTACCTGTACGTGTACACCTTGGTGGGGGTGCACTGAATACACACAGCAGAACTCGCTCCATTACTGAGCCAGTATCGTACCTGTACGTGTACACCTTGGTGGGGGTGCAATGCATACACACAGCATAACTCGCTCCATTACTGAGCCAGTATCGTACCTGTACGTGTACACCTTGGTGGGGGTGCACTACATACACACAGCAGAACTCGCTCCATTACTGAGCCAGTATCGTACCTGTACGTGTACACCTTGGTGGGGGTGCAATGCATACACACAGCATAACTCGCTCCATTACTGAGCCAGTATCGTACCTGTACGTGTACACCTTGGTGGGGGTGCACTGAATACACACAGCAGAACTCGCTCCATTACTGAGCCAGTATCGTACCTGTACGTGTACACCTTGGTGGGGGTGCACTACATACACACAGCAGAACTCGCTCCATTACTGAGCCAGTATCGTACCTGTACGTGTACACCTTGGTGGGGGTGCACTGAATACACACAGCAGAACTCGCTCCATTACTGAGCCAGTATCGTACCTGTACGTGTACACCTTGGTGGGGGTGCAATGCATACACACAGCATAACTCGCTCCATTACTGAGCCAGTATCGTACCTGTACGTGTACACCTTGGTGGGGGTGCACTACATACACACAGCAGAACTCGCTCCATTACTGAGCCAGTATCGTACCTGTACGTGTACACCTTGGTGGGGGTGCACTGAATACACACAGCAGAACTCGCTCCATTACTGTGACCGCCTCGGGGTGAGCCAGTATCATACCTGTACGTGTACACCTTGGTGGGGGTGCACTGCATACACACGGCATAACTCGCTCCATTACTGTGACCGCCTCGGGGTGAGCCAGTATCATACATGTACGTGTAAACCTTGGTGGGGGTGCACTGAATACACACAGCAGAACTCGCTCCATTACTGAGCCAGTATCGTACCTGTACGTGTACACCTTGGTGGGGGTGCACTGCATACACACGGCATAACTCGCTCCATTACTGTGACCGCCTCGAGGTGAGCCAGTATCATACCTGTACGTGTACACCTTGGTGGGGGTGCACTGCATACACACAGCATAACTCGCTCCATTACTGAGCCAGTATCGTACCTGTACGTGTACACCTTGGTGGGGGTGCACTGAATACACACAGCAGAACTCGCTCCATTACTGAGCCAGTATCGTACCTGTACGTGTACACCTTGGTGGGGGTGCACTGCATACACACGGCATAACTCGCTCCATTACTGTTATCGTCTCGGGGTGAGCCAGTATCATACCTGTACGTGTACACCTTGGTGGGGGTGCACTGCATACACACGGCATAACTCGCTCCATTACTGTGACCGCCTCGGGGTGAGCCAGTATCATACCTGTACGTGTACACCTTGGTGGGGGTGCACTGCATACACACGGCATAACTCGCTCCATTACTGTGACCGCCTCGGGGTGAGCCAGTATCATACATGTACGTGTAAACCTTGGTGGGGGTGCACTGAATACACACAGCAGAACTCGCTCCATTACTGAGCCAGTATCGTACCTGTACGTGTACACCTTGGTGGGGGTGCACTGCATACACACGGCATAACTCGCTCCATTACTGTGACCGCCTCGAGGTGAGCCAGTATCATACCTGTACGTGTACACCTTGGTGGGGGTGCACTGCATACACACGGCATAACTCGCTCCATCACTGTGACCGCCTCGGGGTGAGCCAGTATCATACATGTACGTGTACACCTTGGTGGGGGTGCACTGAATACACACAGCAGAACTCGCTCCATTACTGAGCCAGTATCGTACCTGTACGTGTACACCTTGGTGGGGGTGCACTGAA